TAGCCCCCGGGACACGCTGGGTGTGAGGGGGCGGTTTAGGGACTTCTCTTGTGCACCGTGCCTCCCTGCGCTGGAGTATCCGCACAGCGAGCGCAGAGAGTTTCATCTAGTTTGTTCGCTGCTGAATCCCCCAGAGCAGGGCTTGGCATACAGTGAATGTTTGTTGAATGAATGCCAGAGGGCAGAGAGCAATGTAAAACATCTCATAAAGGTGACCACCAGAATGAGCAATTGAAAGGCTGGCTCTCCAGAGCAGCCACAGCCCTTTACCAGCCCTGTCCCCAGGAGAGTCCCTTACACACAGCCACCTTGTTGCTCATAACATCCTCGGAGGATTTTCCATCTTTCCTTCCTAGATGAGTGATTGAGGATCAGAGAGGTTGAGAGCCTTGCCCAAGGTCACACAGCTGCACAGGAGGCCCAAGTCACCTCAGTGAGAGGTGTGCTCTGTCCCTCCCCCCGCTGCCCCCTTGTGCCTAGGCACGTTTCCTCCCCTCGGGTGGGGGAGGGGAGCAAGCTGAGGGAAACTGAGGAAGCCAGAGCCAGTGTGGGTGTGAGGAGGCCCCCGGGGGCGAGCACCAGGGTTGGGGTCCTTGAGGCCAGAGGTGGGCTCACTTTCTTTTTCTTGATAGTTTCAGGACTTGGCAGGATCTGGGGGCACGGGCAGCCGTGCGGCGGGGCCAGGGGCCAGATAGTCTACAGAGGAATTACACGCCCGCTCGTCTCGTCGGGAGAGGGGACCGGCCTCGCCCACGGGGGCTCCCCTGGGCACAGCTCTGTGCAGCTGCCATGCTGGGTACCAAGGGGGCTCGGGTCCCCTCTGGCACAAGAGTGGGCTTGAAGAAGGGACACAGGATGGCATGAGATGCCGAGGGTTGTGGGAGCAGGACGGTGCTGCCCGGCAGGCGGGGCAGCGGCGCACTGGCTGGGCGAGGAGCCACCCCGAGTTCAGGCCACGCCACCTGCTCCCTGACACGCCGGGCACAGGCAGCTGCAGCGGCTGAAGGAGAGTGGCCCTGTGGTCGGGGCTGTCATTCATACTGTAGGTGGGTGGTCAGAGAAGGGAGGCACTAGCCATGCAGAGGTCAGGGCTGAGCACTCCAGATGGAGGGAAAGAGGTGCAAAGTCCCTGCGGCAGGAATGAGCAGAGTGAGCTTAGGACCAGCAGGGCAGCCAGTGTGGCCAGTGTGTGCTGGGGAGGGGGGGAAGGCTAGGGTCAGAGGGTCACGTGGGCCAGGTCAGTATTTACCACTCCCTCACGGAGGCCTGACTGGGGGTCCATGGTCACCTCCTCCCTCACATCTTGGGAGCACCTACTGTGTGCCAGTCTCCGTGCCCAGGTGCCACAGGGAGGATGGCAGTGTGCGAAGCTGGTGAGAGCCCTGGCCCCACATCTCCAGGCTCTTGCATGTAAACTGCTGGGGTTTGCCTCTTGGAGCCTCTGTTTTTTCATCTGTAAAATGGGAGTTATAAGATCCGCCTGGCAAAGTCTCTGTGGGGAGTAAGTGGAATGGATCTCTGTCACTGCTGCCCTGGGAGCAGAGCCAGCCGACTGAAGGGCGGATGGGCCAGGCGCCCTCCTGAAAGTCAGAATCCCGCAGAGAGCGAGGAAGGAAGCAGGTGGTGGGAGGGAGGCAGTTTGCGTGGGGGTCAGCCTGCGAGGGGTGAGCGTGCCGTGGCCCACGTGGGGGAAGATGCCGAGTGAGGAGGGAGCAGGGGCCTGGGCACAGTCCAGCATGGCCAGCAAGTAGGGCTCCTGCCAGGGTGTTGGGACATGAAGGTAGCTGCTGGGCTGGACCCCCGGAGGGTACAAGGGGAGCTGAAAGTTGACAGGATGACAGGTGTGCTGCAGGAAGAGGCAGAGTGGACTGGAGGACAGGGCCCAGAGGCAGGGAAGGACTGTCCCCTGAGTACCCAGAGAGCTCACCTGTGTTCCCATCTGCCGAGAGGGGAGACCGCACCCCACCATTTCACAGTGGGAAGCCTGGACATGCCGCAGGCACCACACCCTCGTGGTCCTCACCCTCTCCTTCCTCCTCCTCTATAGGGAGGCACCGCCTTTGCCCAAGACCCAGCCAGCACCCCAGTTCTCCAGCCTAACAGGTAGGCCTCACCTAGCCTCAGGTGACTTTGAGCAAGCCACTTTGTGCGCTGGCCTCAGTTTCCTCGTCCATAAAAAGGGACTTAGGGGAACATCCTCAAGTCCTGTGGTTAGTGAATGGCACAGTCCAGACTTGTACCCTGGGCACTGGCCCCAACACCAAGTCCACTGCCCAGGGCACTGCGCCTACCCCCCACCCCCCGCCCGGGGCCAGCCTCCCTGCTCTCCCCTCCTTGGCCACACACAGTGATGACTGCTCCACCCATGGGCATGGAGAGCCCCTCCCTGGCCAGGTGCTGGGTGGGAAAGGCACAGGCCCTCTCACATCTGGTGCGGGGCTTAACCCAATGACCACTGAATTCCCATGGAGGGCTGCACGGAGGAGGCATCCTTTAAGGGTGAGGGCAACAGCTGCCCCGCAGGCACTGGGTCAAAGGAGAATTTGAAGAGTCGTAGCATGATCGCAGCCAGGCTTCAGGGTCTGCAAGAGCAAGTGAAGGGTGGAGGCCGGTTCCTGTGGCTCTCCTGTCCTGCCCAGGCCCCACGTCTGCCACCAAGGCAGCTCAGCCACCCCCTGCCTCCCCCAGAGTCCCTTCTAGGAGTGAAGGGGGAATTCCCAGACTGGCCTTTTAGAAGAGCTGAAACATTCAATGTAAATAATTAATGCTAGATTTTTAAAATTAAATTTTAATACATTCTTATTAATTTTAGACAAACTCCCCGGCAGGTCATTCACTGTGAGCGATTAAGGCAACTGGAGACAGCCTTTGGGTGGGAGAGGCCTCTGAGAAGTGGAGTCCAGGCCCAGCTGAGCCCCTTCAGCTGTGGGGTCTCCAGGAAGCCCCCCTCGTCCCTCTGATCTTTGTTCTCCGTATCTGTAAAATGGGGACGCGTGCTTCCCTGGCAGAGCTGCCGCCAGACGCCAGTGGAAAGTGCTATGGCTGTGTCAGGGGTGGTGGGTATTGTTATTTCTGCCCTCCTGCTGAGGGGGGACTCCCAGGCCGGGGTGGAAGCGGGTGTTCTCCGCAGTTTGCGAGAGAGAGCGGGGCTCCCTTCCTCTGCGGTCCCCTCTCCACTGAGACCTCAGCCCAGAGCTAATGAATGAGAATCACTGGCGCATGAATGAACACTTCGGTTTCTTGGGTTTGGTTTGATCCTGGGTCAGGTCTGACCCTCCAGTGGACGGCTCCTCCCACCCCGCGCTGGCTGGTGAGGCCAACCCTGCTGGGTGCTGGGGTGTCCTGGTGAAAGCACGGGGTTCCTGCCCAGGAACTCCCAGCCGGGAGAGGGAAGGCCGGCAAAGACCAGCTCTGGTGCGGCGGGATCCAGGCGTGCATTGCCCGTGTATATTATATTGAGCGCCTGCTGTATGCTGGAATCTAGAGTGAGGAGCTCTGTCATGGGGACCCCCGAAAGGTGGGCTTGGGGAATATCGGGGTATGGGGGACGTGTTGGTCTGCGGCAAACTCTTCCTGGCAAACTCCTTATCTTGGGGGCGAAGCATTTATAGAAGGGGTCCAGGCTTGTGGCGTTGGACAACTTTTAGAGTGTTGGGGAGGGGAGCCGCCATCCGGGCGCCTCAGGGATCCTTCGCTCCGAAATGCCTCCTCCCACCACAGCCCCTCCGCAGCCCACCAGTGCGGAAGGGCAGCAGAGCGCCTCGTCCAGCTTCCTGCCCGCTCCTCATCCGCTCTCAGGTGAGGAAACTGAGGTCGGGAGAGCCTCGGGGAGGCCTGCCCAGCACCCGGGAAGTTGGTGGCCGAGCCTGGCCGAGGCCCCGGGCCGGGCCTTCCAGCTTGGAGCTGCGGCCGGGCTGCGCCCTCGCCCGGCGGGGCGGTGGGGGAGGCGGCGTGGGGCCTGGACCGGAGCGGAGCGCGCTCTCGGCGGACGCGGCGGCCGCTATGGGCAGTAATCAGTCTTCCCAGGTCTGTCGCGTGGTCCCCGGGCTCAGACCCCCGTCCCCCTTTAATGTCAGCCCCGCTGCTGCGGGGCGATGGGGAAAGCCCCCGGGAGCGGCCTCTCGGGGTGCTGGGGAGTCCGCCCCGCGCCCCCTGCTCCACGCAGGAAGTGCGATGCCGCCCGGGCCGCTCGCGGACCCCGCCGTTCGCCGGCGCCCACAGGGTTAACGGGGGCCGGTGGGTCCCCACCCCCGGCGGGCGGAGGGGCTGCCCGGCTGCGCGGGGCTGGGCGGGGAGGGTCTCGAAGCGCCTCTCGGGCGGGTCTGCGCAAGCCCGGCAGGGAGCCCCACCGGCGAGCAGGGCGTTCAAGGGTTAATCCCTCGGGCCCGGGAGGGGCGAGCCAGGCACAGAACCCCAGAATCTGAGGGCAGCGGGTCCCTGATTGAGGAGTCTGAGGCGCTGACTACATCGCCCTCAGACCGCGTGAGTGTTTGCTTCTGCAATCCCGCACGGCCCCAATTCCCCATTCAAACACTCTGCGACTCGGAGATTCTGCGATTGTGGGGCTCAGCTTCTTCCAGGAGGGAGCGGGGGTAGGAAGGGTTAACGGGCGGGGCGGGGGGGAGCAGCGGGGCCACGGCCACCCGAGAGTTAACGGGGACGGCCGGTCCCGCTTCTCCGGGCAGCCGAGCTCGCCCTTGGCTGCGCTGTCTCGCTTCCCGGGCCAGCCCGCTCCTCCGCCCGGGGGGCGTAACTCGGTTCCGGGGAGCGCAGCGGCCCGGGCGGGCTCACCTGTTACTTGGCCGCGACCCGGCGTGCCCACTGAGTCACGGGGGCCGCGGCCGGGAGCTGGGGGCGCGCGGGGCCGGACTTTGCGCGGACGGAGCCCCGCGAGGGTGCCCGGCCGCGGCCCGGCTGTGCCCGCTGTGCCCGGCTCCGCCCGGCTTGGTGGCGGAGCGCACGCCTTCTGCTTGCTGACCCTCTCGTTTGGTTTCTCGCAGGCCTCTGCCGCAGACATGGAGAAACTCAGGTGAGTGGAGCGTCTTCCGTTCCGGGGCTCGCGGGGGCCCGGGGTCGGGGGTAGGTGCCCCGGAGAGGGTGGGGGGAGGGGGCGCCACCCTAGCGCATCCCTGGGGCCCGCGGGTCGCCCGGGCGGACTGGCCCGGCCAGTGTGCGTGTGTGGTGCGTGTGTGCGCGCGACGAGACAATGGGGAGCCCGCGTGGGGGCTCCTCGGCCCGGCCCGGGCGACTGCGGCTGGAAGTGGGGGGTGCGCCACCGAAGGCCCCGCCGGCCCCCGCCCCGGGCCGCACGCCTGCCCCCGCGGGCCCTTGAGACCTGCGCTGGACTCGAGCTCGTCCCCCGGGACCCTTTGGGTTTCCATTCCTGCTGTTACGCACCAGTCCCCAGCGCTGACTTCCCCCCCACCCCGCAGGTGACAGTTGCCTGCTTCTAAGCTTTTAAGTTTCCGCCCCGGGGGCAGGGGTGGGGGATGGAGTCCTCGCGGCTGGCCAGACAGTCGCGTCTTGGAGCCATTTTAGGGGAATCCCGCGACAGCGTCTAGGGAGTGTCCCCTGCGACCTCCCTCCAGGTGCTAAACTTCGAGCCTCAATGGACTCCACCGGGCTCCCTTTGCGGCTGGCCGCGATCAGTCCATTTGAATATTCACGACTACCCCCTCTCCCGCGACTTCCCCCGGCCACCTTGACCCCTACTTTGGTAACATCCCCCTGCTGTGTTTTCCTTCCTGAGCCTGAGCCCAGGCGTCCTGTGGGCAGGCAGGCCCTGCCCCCGCGGCCGGGTCTCAGCAGCCCCTCCCCCGGCCTAGAGGTCTCTTGCCCCTCCCCCCC